GAGAGGAGGCATCTGGCCCAGCAAATATATAGATTTCAAAACTGCAGCATTATGCCAGAGCATGATCTCTGTCTGGGGATTTGGAACTAAAGAAGATGGTTATCTATTCAATTTTACAACTTCCCAGGATAGAGAAAATACATTTGCAGAGGTTTCTCTAGGCAAATGAATCAGCAGAGGTCATTGGTGAGAGGCTAGGTTGGTACTGAAGTGGGCATCCATTGTCTTCTCAGGCTGGAAGGATATTTTTCTTGTTAAGTCATTTTCAGTCATGTCCAACTCTTCATGACCGCATTGGAAGTTTTCTTGGCAAAGACACTGGAGAGGCTTGCCATTTCCTTCTCCAGCTTATTTTACAGATGAGGAAACTGAGGCAAACAGGGTTAATGACTTACCTAGGGTCACACAGCCAGTAGGTATCTGAAGCCAGATTTGAACTTAGGAAGATGAATCTTCCTGCCTCCAGGTCTGGCACTCTATCCACTGCACCACCCAGGGGATTGCTTAGAGGCAAACAAATACCTCAAGAGGGAAAGCAGTCTGTCCCATAAAAATGTGGGAGGTGAGGAGTAAGTGGGATCTGTAGCTCTACCTGCTTGGTCAACAACACATTCTCAGAAGGGCAACACCACTGTTACATGAGGAAAAAGCATCTTAACATCTAGAGGTGGCCAAAAGTGGAATTCATTGCCTTGGGGAAATATGGGTTCTTCCTCATTGGAGCACTTTGAGCAAATCTTGGAAAACCACTCAGTGGTGTTATAGAAAATACTCTTGGTCAGGCATGGGTTGATTAGAAGGCTTCTGAGGGTTATCTCAATTCTGTGATTCAATGACACAAAATTTGAGTTCAGAAAAAAATTACAAGATGTGAGATATTTTAGTACTTCGAAAGATACGTAATTTCATCTAGGTGGGGAATTTTCTCCCCTGATAGAGATAAAACAATCTCTCCATACCTTAGTAGATGGTTTTGTGAGTCCTTGTGGCCAAAAAAAATGACCTGGTGGCCAATGTTTCATTTTTAGTCCTTCCATTTTCAGGTAGGCCGTCCTTTGGGTGACAAACAAGCTAGTGCCATCCCAGTTTTGGTAGGACCCATCAGACTTTTTGCTGGCACAAACTTTAGGAACCCATGGTCAGAGAGAGCTGACCTCTGATTTAGGAAGACCCAGATTCAAATTTCACCTCTTTCACATATTATCTGTGAAACCCTAGACAAGTCACTCGACATACCCCAGATTTATAAACCAAAAAATTATTGGACTGCAAGTTGAAGATCTATGTTGGTGGAGAAAATTTTCTCATCTAGGAGATCCCTGTACCAATCAAATTACAGGTCCAGTCAAAAAAAAAAAGCCACATGGTTTCATGGTCATCTGCACACGAGGACAAAGCATTAGAGTAGGGTTTATGTGGAAGCAAACCCACAAAAATAAATTATATTCTCACATACCAGTATTAAACAGCTGGAAGCTGTATTTACAATGCAACCCAAAATATTAAATATTTGAATATTAACCTACCAAGAGATGCAAGGGGCCTTTATAAGGAGGGCCACAACATTTTAATGAAAGTCATAAAGGAAGAGCCAAATGAATGGAGAGAATTCTCTTGCTTATGGTTATGAAGATTAACTACAGTACATAGGATGATACTTCCCAAGCTAATTTATAGATTAAATGTACTGCCGGTTAAAATCACAGTTGGGTATTTGGTGGAATTAGATGAAATGATAATAAAACATACATGGCAAAGACAAGTGGGGGAGAATATCAAAGTGCATGGACACATACACACATACCCACATGAACACATGTATATTTTAGGATCATAGGACCCATTAAATTAAATAGCTAGAGTAGTGTTTCTGGAGTCAGGAAGACCTGAATTCAGATCTAGCCTCTGATACTTACTAGCTGTGTGACCCTGGGGGAAATTGCTTTACCACTGTCTGCTTCAATTTCTTCAACTGTAAAATGGGGATTTGGGGGAGCTTAGGTGGTGATGTGGATAGAGTGCTGGGCCCGGAGTCAGGAAGACTCATCTTTGTGAGCTTAGATCTAGCCTCAGACACTAACTGGCTGTGTGACCCTGGGCGAATCACTTACCCGTCTTTGCCTTAGTTCCTCATTTGTAAAATGATCTGGAGAAGGAAATGGCAAACCACTCCAGTATCTTTGCCAAGAAAACCTTAAATGGGGTCATGAAGAGTCAGACATGACTGAAAAATGACCATACAACCGCCACCATGTGCCAGGCACTGTGCTAAGTGCTTTATAAATATTATCTTATTTGATGATTTTTTTCTTTTGCACTTAATAGTATTTTATTTTTTCTAATTACATGTAAAGATAGTTTTCAACATTCACTTTTATAAGATATTGAGTTCTAATTTTTTCTCTCCCTTCCTCCCCTCCCTCTCTCCCCAAGAGCACAAGCAATCCGATATAGGCTATACATGGAAATCGTATTAAACGTATTTCCACATGAGTCATGCTGTGAAAGATGAATCAGAACAAAAGGGAAAAACAATGAGAAAGAAAAAAAACAAACAAAAAAAGAGAAAATAGTATGCTTGGATCTACATTCAGACTCCATAGTTCTTTCTCTGGACGTGGATAGCATTTTCCATTATTTGATGATTTTCACAACAACCCTGGAAGCTAGCTGCTATTATGACTCCCATTTTGATTTTTAAAAAATTATACTTTATTTAATTTTTTTTTATTTTTAGGCAATTGGGGTTAAGTGACTTGCCCAGGGTTGCACAGCTAGTAAGCGTCAAGTGTTTGGTCTGAGGCCCGTGACTCCCATTTTACAGTTGAGGAAAGCTGAGGCTTAGCACAGTGCCTGGCTAATGCTTGGTCCCTCCTTCCTTCACTGCTCTAGAACTGGAAGGGACCACCAAGGCTCACTTCAAGCAACTTCATTGTCAGAGTCACTTTGGTGGGCACAGTGTGGCATATGAGTGTGTGCTGAGGCTTGCAAGCACCAAGCTAAACCCCAGCTGCTCCCTGGAACAGTAAGAGAGAGATGATGTGTGGAGACCAGGCAGTAAATTGGGTCATAATGTCCTAATTCTCCCTCTGCTAAGGCATGTCGGTGTACCAAGGTGCCATAAGAGTTTAGGCTTAGAGTCTCATGGGGCACACTTAACAGGCCTTCATAATTCTGCTGTTGGAAGAGTAGTCACAGAATATGTGAATGACTCATGACTACGCCCTTGGTTAGTAAGAGAGAAAACTTCCTAACAATGGTCTGGGGGAAAGGGGTGGGATTCCAGGCCTACCCTAGGAAAGGTCACTCTCTCCGGTGTGCAGTTTCCAGAGCTCTATTTCACCCTCATGCTGCAAACAAAGGGACACAAGGAAATGCCTGGGACTGGGGTAGGAGAAATCAGATTAGATCAGTCAAACGTAGGCTTTCATGAGAAAGTATCAATTGCACCCAGATGAAGTAAGGCAGGGAAGGGTATGAGAATGGCCAGTTCCTGCACATTCCCCACAGTGTATTTATTTAATTTTTGTTTTAATCTTAGCACTCCAGGCACCTGACTAAATACCTACAATTACTAACAAAACCCAAAAAATCCTCAAGCAAACCAGAAAACAATCCGTGGCCTGCTGCTTGTTCCTTTACCTTGCATTTTTCTAGTTTCCTTGGAAACTTGGGGACCATTACTGTGGCCCCACTACTTCTCCACATGTCTGAAGGGTGGGGTAAGTACTGCCGCCTTCCTGGGCTTGGTGTTCGTTCTCTCTCTCTCTCTCTCTCTCTCCCCCCCCCACATCACCTTTTAGTCCCACCCCAGTCTCAAACCTGGAAGTATTTCCTTGTCGCAGGAGATGAGTTTTTGTTGAGTTTTCACTCCAAATCCCAGAAGTCTATGCGGTTCCAGGCCATTCTTCCCCACCTACAGGAGATGTTAACATCAATAAGGTGTGAACTGTCATAAAAAGACCAAAAACATATTGGTGTTTCTATAAATGTTGTAGCCTGAGGCAAAACTCCGGTGACACCCCCCTCCCCAGTTACAGCTCTGGTAAGATCAGATTCTTTTTTATCTGAATCGTGGATTTTTGGGCTCCCCCATTTTCTGCATTAGAAGAGATCTCTTGAAAGGAACAAGACAATCCAGGGCATGGAGTGTACCTGGTGTGACAGGTGCCACTTCCTACCCATTAAATGCTGGGGGGGAAGGAGGTACACCGGTACAATGTGGATGACTGCAAATTAATTAAATCCTTCTAGAAGACAATCTGTCAATAAGTAACAAGAGGCTTTCCCTGGTGATACAGCTCAAGGAATTAATGAAAATAGAATGTTGTATTTGTAGAAAGATGCTTATAGCTGTGTTATTTATAAAAGTGAACAAAAGTGGAAACCAAACAGCCCAAATGCCCAATGGATGGGCCATGCCTTACTGCACTGTGGTCTCTTTCTGTAGTGGGGCAGAACCCTGGGATGCCAGAGGCAGAAGAGTCTTTGAGTCATCTTGTCCAAACTCCTCATTTTGCACCCGAGGAAAATAAGGATGGCTTGTCCAAAGTCATTTTTTGTCCTTTGTTTTCTTACTCTACCCCCTATTCCTCATCTGTTAACTTTGTACTTCCTTTATATATGTAACATTCCATAGATGAGACTAGGGCTAAACACCTCACTTGGACAGATATTTTGAATGATTGCTAGGCATCTTGGGAACTGTAGTTTTCTTCTCCTCACCTCCCAGTCCCCTACAATGTCCCCCTTAGTCTGGGAGAAAATGGAGGAGTTAGCCGGACTTGCATTGAGTCCATGAAGAAGGAAAGGAACAGAGGGAGGTAGAGAGAGGGGGCGTGGAGGCGTGGTGTTCTTGTCTCTGGGCAGGAGACTGCTAAGCAGTGGGAACCAGATCTCCATCCTCTGGTGGTAACAGCAGAGAGGGTGTGAAAGCAGGTGAGGGCCGTTTAACAGCAGCTGGGGCAGTGGCTGACGTGTGGCTTCTCTTCTCAGGCTCCGGAGAGAAGGAAACACAGCAGGAGCCATGAGAGAGCTGTAGACTGCCCCGGCCGATGGCGGCTGCTTGCCTCGGAGGCTGAATTTAGACGCCTGTAGGGCAATGGGTAGGGCCTGAACTGTCCTTCCCGCCCCTTTCCCCACTTCAGCTGGATGAGGCTGCTGTCTGTTTCTAAGTGGGTTCCTTAACTCTGCTATGAAGTTTCAAAAAATTTAATCTGGTTTTATCTCTCATTAGCACCTATGGTCAACGCAAACATGTATATTTCCTTGGGAGCATCTGTTCGTGGTGTGACTGTGTGGGGGGGACAGTTCTGGTAATCCGGGAAAACAACGAGAAAGCTTTCTAGTTTTGGGCTGGGGTCCCAATCCCCGGCTGATGGTCGAGAATCCTTCTATAACTGGGAGGAGATTTACCAAGTCATTTTTTAAAGCAGAATTTATTATTTAACAGTAAAAACAAGAGGAATTGAAACAGAATCTGGTTTTTGTTTGACCACTAGTAGGTCTTTCTCATTTCAAAAGAAATTGTAATTGAGGGAGGGTATATTCTGCAAACCTTGGGGGACTTGGGGAACTCAAGAAAGGGGAGAGTAAGAGTCAGTTTGGATTTTGAGTAAAAGCTTTTGACCCCCGATCTGCTTCCTAAACCTTGCTGAACAGCGCCACCTTGTGATACACTCATGCACACACAGATATATGTATGTATGTATCTACATATCTCACACAGAGAGGTTATACACACATATATGCACATATATAACGCATACAGATCGTACTCATGTTTTATGTACATATGTATATAAATATATATGTTTAAATGTATAAAATATGTGTTTAAATGTATAAATATATGTGTGTTTATATATATAAACACATACACACATGCAGGTTATACTGAGGTTTCATATATATATATACATATATATATAGGCTGAATTCAGGATACACACACACATACACAAATACACAGAGTATTCTGAAAGTCAGTGCATTTTAATCTATTAAAACTATCAAAGCTTAAAACTGCACTAAGACTTTTGGGACACCTTGTATGTACAGCTTGCCTTCCCTGGTAGACTTCTTGAGGCCGGGGACTTTTCACTTTTGTCTGTGTTTCCAACCCTTGGAAGTAAGTGCTATTATTATACCCATTATGCAGATGAGGAAACTGAGGCTAAGAAGTTACGTGACTTGCCCAGGGTAACACAACTAGGAAATGTCCCAGGCTGGATTTGAATTCAAGTCTTCCTGACTCCAAGTCTGGCCCTCTTAAATCTGTCATGCCACCTGGCTAGATACTTAAGAAATGCTCATGGTTTGATGGATTGATACCATGCTGTCTATCTACCAATCATTAAGGAATGACTGGTAGGAAGACTGTGCAGGTATATGGAAAAAGTCTGTGCGAAAAAGCAAAAATGAAAAAAAAATATGTAGAATTAGGAGCCTTCCATTTGCCTTGAAAACAACTCTCTAAAAAGACATGTGTCTGATTGTGTCTTGTACATACCTGTTTATGTATTTTGATACTTGGATCTGTGATCTCACTGATTTGCTCCCTCCAACAGGGCACACCTTACAGGCACCCTCTCATCTTTCCTGACACTTATTCTCAACCTTCTGTAAACCCTCCACCAGGCATCTACTCATTGAGACAGCAAGTCAAGTCAATAAGCAGGTATTAAGTGCCTACTATGTGTCGCAGTCTGCTAAATGCTGGGTATATAAAAGAGAGACAAAAACAGTCCTAGCCGTCAAGTAGCTCACTCACCATCTAAGGGGAGAGTCACTGTGCAAATAAATGTGTATAAACAAGGTCTATACAAGATAAATTAGAGATGTAACTCAGCTGGAACATGCCAGCATTAGGAGGCATTGGGGAAGGCTTCTTGCAGAAGGTGGAGTTTTAGCTGAGACCCAAGGAAGCCAGGTAGGCCAGGAATTGAGATGAGGAGAGAGAAAGCGCTCCAGGCATGGAGGAGTAGCCAGTGAAAATACCCAGAGAGGTGGAGTGTCTAGTTCAACGACAGCCAGCGTCATTGGATTAGAGAGTAGGTGGAAGGGAATAATATCTAAGAAAACCAGAAAGTAGGAAGGGAATAGGTTATAAAGGGCTTTAAAACCTAGGTGGAGGATTGTATATTTAATCCTGGAGTTAACAGGGAGCTGCTGGAATTTATTGTATATGGTAGTAATAAGGTTAGATGAGCTTTAGTTAAGATGAACTTGGCAGCTGAGTGAAGGACAGCCTGGAGTGGGGAGAGACTTGAGGAGGCTATTACAATTATCTGGGGATAAGGTAATGAGGATCTGCACCAGGCTGGCGGCAGCATCGGAGGAGACAGCAGGGGATGTTTCCAAGGAGAGTAAGGAGTCAAGGATGACTATAGGTTGTGAGTCTGAGTGACTGGGAGGGGGGTTCCCCCAAAAGTAATTAGAAAGTTAGGAAGAAGAAAAAGTTTTGGGGAAAGATAACAAATTAAAATTAAAGTTAACTATGAGACATCTGAGTCCCATAGGCAGCTGAGAATGTGAAGATTGGAGGTCAGGGCTGAACAAATAGACCTAAGAATCGTTAGCATAGACATACACGTTCATCGGGGAGCTTATGACATCATCAAGAGCAACAGTAGAGAGGGAAAAGAGACAGAAGGAGCCCTGGGGAACTCCCACCTGCTGGGGGCCTTTCTCTAAATCGTTGTACATCGCATGGATGCCGTTGTAACCCGCCCTCCAGCCTGTCAATGCCCCTGATAAAATGGGGTGCCTAGAACGGAACATAATGCTCTGATGTGCCTTGACCAGGGCAGAGGTCTGAGGAGCCAGCACCTCCCGATTCCTGGAAGCTCCCGTTCTGTTAATGCTGCCCAGGATGATGGTAGGTGTTTTTGGCTGCCACATCCTCTTATTGATTCATAATGAATTGTAGCACAAGAAACTCATGGATCTTCGAAGTCTCAATCAGCTTATTTTTGATAGCGCTCTTTCCTCTCAGACGCCCTTATATAATGAGTCTTATAATGTGTCTGTTGGATTTTTAAAAATCTTTTAGCCTTCTATTGGATGGTAAGCTCCCTGAGGGCAAGGATTATGCCCTCTGTACTCTAAAGTTGCTATCTCCCCATCTTAACTTATGAGGGGCTTAATACATGGGTGTATTTTGAACAAATGGAATTGAAAAATACACAAGAGCCTTCCACAGGATCTCGGCAAATTTCCTGTATTGTTGCTCATACTTCTGTGTCCTTTTTATGCCTAGACGTGTGCTGAGCTTTTCGATCTTCTACTTGGTGTTTTTTGTTTATTGACCATAGATTCCCGGCTTTTAATATTCTGCATTAAAACCATCTTTGCTCTTGTTGACCCACTTGTAAGAAAGAAAGAGTAAGTGGCGTGTATGTGGTTTTTCCAGATTGGCTAGACTTCGCCACTCCAGCTGGTAAACTGAAATGGCATAGGGGAAAGGGTATGGGCCTGAGAAGTAGGAGGCTAGGTGGGGTTAGGAACTGGATCTACCATGGCGTGAGGCTGAGGGTCTCCTGTGTTTGGGGTTAGCTGTGAAATGCACAATAAGGAGCAGTAGGTTGTGAGTTGTGAAATACTGAATTGAACCTTGAAGTCAGGAAAGACTTCCTAACATAGACCCATTCATAAAGTGGAATGGGCTCCCTCCAGAGGCAATATATTCCTCTTTATTTAGGATCTTTTAACCATAATTAAATTTTCTTTTATTTTCAAATGAAGATCTACTTTCTCTCCATTCCCCCTCATCGCTATCCTAAATTGAGAAAGCAAGAAAAGCAAAAACTCCCGTTACAAATGTGTTTAGTTAAGCAAACAAATTCCCACATTGGCCATGTCCAGAAAAATGTCTCAATCTGCCATCTGAGTCCATCTAACAGGAGATGGGTAGCATGTTTTTATCATGAGTCTTTTGAATTATGGTTGGTCATCGTGGTGATCAGACTTCTCAAGTCTTTCAAAGTTGTTTGTCTTTATATTGTTGATATCATAGAAATCATTCTCTTGGTTCTTCTCACTTCACTCTGTATCAGTTCATACAAGTCTTCTTCTGAAGTCTTTTTCTGAAACCACAGCCTTCAGAGTTTCCTACAGCACAATGTATCCTATCGCATTCATATATCATAACCTGTTCAGTCACTTGCCAATTTGTGGACGCCCTTTGGTTTCGAATCCTTCTCCACCACAAAAAGAGTTGCTATCTTTGTAGATATGTCTCCTCTCCCTCTTTCTTAGATCTCTTTGGGGTAGAGACCTATATCAGTAGTGATAGGTCAAAGGGGATATACATATACACAATTTTATAGCTTTTGGGGCATAGTTCCAAATTGCTTTCCATAATGGCTTGACCAGTTCACATCTCCGCCAACAGTGCAGTAAGGCACCTGTTTTCCCACAATCCCTAAAGTGTTTATCATGTTCTTTTCCTTTTTTTTTTTTTACCAACTTTGCAAATCTGATGGATGTAAGGTGGAACCTCAGAATTGTTTTAATTTACATTTCCCGAATTATTATTATTCACTTAAGATCTTCATGCAAAGGTTGGGTGAAAGTATACAAAGATAGGGTCTTTGGTCACAGGCATTGGTTTATTGGAGAGAGGAAGAAGTATAATAAATACTCAGTTTCTGGGGATGGCTCCAGACAGGCATGAATGGCTAAGCACAAGAATCATCCTGGTAACCTTATATTTCAGCCTCCCTTCCTCCCCCTCCCCCCTATCCACTGCTCATATTCCCATTTCACCTCAGAAAAAGTATAGGCCTAGACATGGAGTTGGGCAGATAGTTGGGTCCTGGAATAGGAACTAGGGTTTAGAAAGCTTAGAATGAGGTGCCAAATGTGGGTGGGTGAGGTGTCCAAAGACACAGCACTGCTGGGAGCATCCAATCTGTTGCCTTGCTTGAGGAAACCAGGGATTTAATTCTTTATCCTTGGCTGTTCTGGGTAAAGCCTAAGGTCCCATCTGGGGAAGGAAAAGGATGGGGTTCAGGATGCAAAGGGACAAGGAAATGTAGATTTAGTAACCATAGATTTAGGAGTAACTACTCACATGCCCAGAGCAACTGGCTATCCTGTCAGAATCAGTGACTGTACCCCCAAACTCCTGTAGTCATACAAGTGCTACTGGGCCCTTTGTCCCCTCCCGCTGTTACTCCCAGTATTCAACAGAGACACCCATTCAGAAAGCAGAGGCCTATGCTAGCCTTACCCCTAGCATCATCTTCACTTCCTCTATCCGTTCCAGGACTCGGGGGGCTTCATCTGGACACACGAGCTGCAGCTCCCGGGGTCGCATGTGCAGCAGTTGGCTTCCTGTCAGCATTCCCAAGCTCTTAATGGTGCTATGAGAGACAGAAGGTCATAACTAGTAATCAGTCCTATTATTTTGATTCCAAGACAAGCTCTGGGGAAGCAAAGACTAGGATATTGGTGTAGGGGAGTGGGAGACTGCATAGTGGAAGGTGGGGAAGAAACCGTATCCATTTTGTAGCTTTCCATTTTAACTAATTACTCTTGCTCACTAGGGGCTGAACTTTGTAGTCTGAGTTGCTCTAAGAGTATAGAAGTGCTGTTAGTGCCCACTAAATTCAGCGCCCTGAGACAAAAGTCTTGTTGCTCTGGCTTAGTTCTAACTTCATAGATATGGTTGGGGGAACAGATAGTTCTGGTGACTGAGATCTTGGAGATGATGTAATTCTGGACTGAGGGGGCACATCTTCCTTTCCCTTCACTTCAGTTAAATTCCTATTCATTCTTTAAATCCTAAACCAAATGCCACCTGTTTCACCAAGGCCTTCCCCAATCCTTAACCTGATTCACCTTTCCCCCTGGATATCCCATAGCACATCTCTTCTTTTCTAATGTGCTTTTATTACAGATATCTTATCACATGAGGGCAGGGACTTTACTAGGCTCCCTAGCCTAGTAAAGTGCCCTGAATACGTTAGCCACTTAATAAATGCTTGTTGAATGAGGGGAGATGGGTGGCGGTGGTATTTTGTTAAAGTATCTGAAAGAAGTGGGATTCCCCAGGTCTCCCTTCTTAGGGCACCCCCCTTCTCTCACTTCCCCCAAGGGCTGGGGCTAGCACTTACATGTTAGAGAAGTTCTCTGACTCCAGCCAATCCCTCACCTCCTGTGGTTTGGAGGTGGGCCGCAGCATGGGACCCTAGGAGAGCACGGAGAAACCAGGGGGTTCCAAGGCTGACTCGTTTTCCCTTTTCCTCACAGCATCATCATGCATCTAGGACGGTCTCTTCTCCCTGCCCTAGACCCATATCCAACTGTGCAACCTAGCGTTCACTACTTCCCTAAAGAGCTGGAGGTTTGGAAAGGGGACCAGGCAGACAGTTCCGTGCAGTTACAACTGGTGGCTTTTGCATCAATGGCTAGTGGCAGGTGAGAGGATCTGGGGATGGTGGGGGTCAAGGAGGGGCACTCCTGGTGTGTGCTGGGGGAAGAAGCCTGGGCCTTCTAGTAGCTTCTAACTGTGTCTTTTCTCTAAGAGCTACGTTTCTAATGGGTTTGAGAACTGCAGACACCCTCTGAACTTTGGAGCCCTGGGATGAAGCCTGGTCTATCCACCCTAGTTACAGTTTACAGTTACCCGAGTTGGGGAGCTAGACCAGCTCCTGTTCCTCTGTAGGTCTGAATTCACGGGTTCCAGGATGTTATTAGGAATGTAGCCTCTTTGCCCGCCTTTGTTTTTCACCAGCCACCACTGTCTGCTGTGGTCCAAAATCTGTGGAAAATCAAGGCATTTCTCAGCTCAGGGACTCTGCCTTACCTGGTTTGGGGATGGGGAGGGGGTCACCAAGTAGTCTCCTTGTGAGGAGTGGAAGTAAACTTTCCCTTTCTCTTTTTCTTCCTTTACCTCTACCTTCTTGTTTCCTCCTCCCTATAATCCCCTCTCCCTACACTCGTCATGAAAAATCCTTTTAGACTCAAACCCTTCCCCCCTTCCAAGCTGTCTGTCTCTTCTGGTCCCTCTCCATTCTACTGTCCCCCCCTCCCCCATAAGTAGGTTCATCATTAGAGACAGCAGATGGTGGCTCAGTAGATAGAGAACCAGGCCTGGAATCAGGAAGACCCAGGTTCAGAGATACCCTCAGACACTCACTAGCTTTGTATGATGCTAGACAAGGCACAATATCTGTTTGCCTCAGTTTCTTCAACTATAAAATGGGGATAATAACAATACCCACCTCACAGGGTTGTTATGAGATTCAAATGAGATATTTGTGATATGCTTGGCACAGTGCCTGGCACACAGTAGGCACTTAATAAATGCTTATTCCTTCCCCTTTAATCTCTTGACAATTTTCATTGCTCACCTCCAGCACCTCACCCTGAGTCACTGTCAGCTCCCGTGGATTTCTGCTTTCAAACTCATACTGGACTTGCATTAGTAGAGGCTGCTGGGTTAGGCTGGCTCTGTAGGGGATGAAGTCAAGGAGAGTTCTCAGGCCTCCAAGGGGAGGACCATGGTAAAGGGGAAATGAATTCTGGAGGATGGGACCTGTGACATCTGGTCCCCCATTGGATCTTCTCAGTACCTGGGAGTCTCATGGGGTCTTTTAGGTTGCTCTTACCTTTGCCTCATTCCTTCCCCCATCCCCTTACACATAATCATGGGGCTCAGGAAGCAGTCTGCTCAGGGAGCAGTCTGAGGGCTGGGGGCCCTTCATGGGAGGGGCTGATTCCCTCTAGCTTTGAAATTCCAGAAACTTTTGTGTCTGCTCTACTGCTGTAACCTGGCCTCTTCCCCCTCTGCTCACAGTGCAGCAGGGCAGGCAGATGAGGTTCCAGATGTCTCAGCTGTTAAACTGTGGGGGCGGGGGCACTAGCTGGGGAAGGGTCAGGATGTATGGGGCAAGAGACAGCTTGTTTCAGCTCTGAGAACACTGTCTGCTCTTCCCCCTTGAGGACGGTACCTAGTGTCCTTGGAGCACAGTGATGCCTCAAACAAGAAGAGAAGAGGTGGGGTGGGAGGAAGGGAGGGAGAGAGAGAGAGAGAGAGAGAGAGAGAGAGAGAGAGAGAGAGAGAGAGAGAGAGAGAGAGAGAGAGAGAGAGAGACAGGGACAGAGAGAGACAGAGACAAAAATAGACAGAGAGAGACACACAAAAGAGAGACAGAGAGACAGACAAAGAGAAAGAGAGAGAGATGGGGAGAGACAGAGAGAGAGATAGACAGAGAGAGACACACACACACAGAGATGGAGGGAGACAGAGGGAAAGATACAGAAACAGAGACAGATGGAGAGAGAGGGAGAGAGAGAGGAGAGAAGAAGAAAGAGACAGAGACACAGAGAGATGGAGGGAGACAGAGACAGAAAGAGACAGATGAAGACGGGGAGGGAGAGAGAGAGAGAGAGAGAGAGAGAGAGAGAGAGAGAGAGAGAGAGAGAGAGAGGAAGAGAAGGGAGAGGAGAGAAAGAGACAGAGACAGACAGGGAGAAAGAAAGAAAGAGACAGAAGGAGACAGAGAGAGACACACAAAGAGAGACAGAGAGACAGAGACAGAGAAAGAGAGAGACAGGGGAGAGAAAGAGACAGAGAGAGACAGAGAGAGACACAGAGAGAGACACAGAGAGACACACACAGAGAGAGATGGAGGGAGACAGAGACAAAGAGACAGATGAAGACAGATGGAGAGAGAGAGAGAGAGAGAGGAGAGAAGAGGAGAGAAAGAGACAGAGACACAGAGAGATGGAGGGAGACAGACAGAGAGAAAGAGACAGATGAAGACAGACAGAGAGAGAAAGAGGGAGGGAGAGAGGAAAAGAAGGGAGAGGATAGAAAGAGAAAAGAGAGAAAGAGACAGAGACAGAGAAAGACAGGGAGAAGGAGAGACAGAGAGAAAGAGACAGAGTCAGAGAGAGATGCAGAGAGAGATGGAGGGAGACAGAGACAGAGAAAGAGATAGAAAGAGACAGATGGAGAGAGAGAGAGAGAGAGAGAGAGAGAGAGAGAGAGAGAGAGAGAGAGAGAGAGAGAGAGGAGAGAGAGAGGGAGGGAGAGTGAGTTCTGGAGACTCCTTGGGCTATGACCCACCCCTATTGACCCTAGGACAAACCTGGGGCTGCTGAGATCCTGGTCCTGTAAAGAAGAGAGAACAGGGAACAAATCAAAGCAGGGAACCAGCCCAGGGGTGGGAAACATTCTAACTGATGATAATTCTCCCCACACCCTCAAGATAGTCTGGCAGACAAATACAAACACACACACCATTATTGAGGGTAACATCACTTGGAATTTGACTCTGGCAGGAAAGCAAAGGGGCTTGGCCAAGGCTGCCTATCTAACCTAGCACTGGAGGAGCTTGGGAAGAGACTTGGGTCTCTGGGAGGAGTGAGGGGAGCTGCCACCCACTAATGGAGAAGGTGCCGCCTGTGCTCCACTCTCCATCCCCAGGAGCCAGGATTGTTTCTTACCTTGGTGGGGTTGTGCTGGTGAATGACTGCGGAGAACTCTGAAGATTCAGATTGCCTGTGGAATCTGGGCACGTATGTAGAATTCGTGGGCTCTTGGTCTGGCCCATAATCCCTGGGGAGGGGAAAACACCAAACAAACCCTACCTGAGCCAATCCCCCTTCTATGCTGAACTATGGCACAAAGAAGACAGGAGGGAGACAGCAGTGTTTGCTAGGCTATAGGACCATCCGTTTAAAACAGAAAGGGCCCTTAGAAGCTATCTGTTCAAATCCTTTTATTTTACATGAGGAAACTGAGATCCAGAGAAGTTAGGTGACTTGCCCAAGGTCACATAGCTAGAAACGGGTAAGGTTGGGACTCAAATTCAGCTCTTTTTGCACAACACCGTGATACTAGAGAAAACTCTAGGCACACTTATGAGAAAAGGACACAGCCAATTATATTTTAAAGGAAACAACATGGGATGCTGGAAAGAATCAGAGGCCAGAGTTCAATTCTCAATTCTGCCACTTAATAGTGGAGTGGCTCTGAGCAAGGCACTACAGCTCTCTCAGCTTCAGTTTCCTCAGCTGTAACATGAGATGGTTGGACAAGTTTCCTTCCAACTTTATAGCTCTATCAGCTAGGCAACTAGGTGGCACAGTAGACAGAGGAATTGGGCTTTGAGTCAGGAGACTTGAGTTCAAATCCAGCCTATTTCCTAGCCATATGACCCTGGCCAAGTCACTTAACATCTGTTTGCCTCAGTTTCCTCAACTGTAAAATGAGGATACTAACAGCACCTACAGGTTGTTGTGAGGATCAAATGAGGCAATATTTGTAAAGCAGTGCCTAGCACATAGCAGGCACTGCATAAATGCTTATTCCCTTCCCTATTTCCCATACTAATACATTTGTAAGGAATTTTAACTTTCTGTATTATAACTTTCTGCACACAGAGCTATTAAGGATGATGGGCACATACAATTTGGAATTGGAAAGGGTCTTCCATCCATCCACCTCATTTTTGCCAATAAGGACCCTGAGGATGAGAAAGGATGGGAGAGACATGCCCACCATCACCAAGGAACAGTAGCATCTCCAGTTCCGAGTCCCATGTTCTTTTTATTATACCTTATATATGTGTTGCGGGCCAGCTTTACTTTGTGCACAACCCTATTTGAGTGTAGGGTCAACCTTGATTTCCATATAACCAACCAGAAATACACTAAATGATTTCCTGTATTGGGTGGGAGGTAGATTCAATGAACTCTAAGGTCCCTTTCAAATCTAAGATTCTCTGAATCTAGTATCATGCCCATGTAAGGGTATGCTTGGGGCTTGGAAGTGAGTGCAGGCATCTGGGACCAATGGTGTGACTGGAGTTTGCTCTCACGTGCTGGTGGTCCAGAACTCTCCTAGACTTTTCCAGAAATCCATTTCATTTCGTGTCAGACAAGAATTCAGCAAGTCAATGACCTTGGAGGTTAACCCGGGAACATCTACAGAAGCTGCCCAATGAGGATTGGGGCAGTTGGACATCACCTGGGGGAATAGTGGAGGGTGGGTTGGGAACAGCAATTCCTTGCCAGGAAGAGCTGAACAGGAAACAGCATTAGAATGACCTTGACGTGCCAGCCCCCAATACGTATAGGTAGGTTTTAAAATGCCTATATTTGGACATTTGTGTATAATCAAGCATCTGTCTAGTCCACGGGACCTTCTCCCTGAGTTCTTCCTCTGAGGTCTCCTCCCAGTCCGAAGCATCCCTGACTAACTTGGGATTGAAGGTAGTAGCTTTGTTCTGAAGCCCTGCGCAGTGTTAGCTGTGTTGGAACATGCAAGAATTTGAGTGTGTTGGGATGGAATTGAGGGTAAAATAGGACTCCCTTCTTTCTCTCACCTTCCATCCCTTTACCTGCTCATTGTATTCCTGCCCACCTCCACCTTTCCCCATTTCCTCTGCTCTCCTCAATTTTCTGTCTGCGTGGACCTCTTCCTCTTTCATTCTCCATCATAATCTACCTTGTGCCATTTCAACTTACCATGTCCAAAGCTTGGAAGAGGATGTGTACAAATTCAGGGGCATCTGGCTGCTGTAGATAGATATTCAGCTTCCCCTGGGGACATATTAATAGACCAACCCCCCCTGTCACCACCAGGGCACTCGGCTCCCTCAAAGAGGTTGAGGGCTTGGTTTCCAGGCAGTAGAGAGGGAGGGGAAGGGGGAATCATTGTTTCTAGAGTTGCTTCTAGAGAGGCAAGTTTCAGGGGTAGGGTGTGATTTTTGGATGAGAGGGGAGGAGCTGAGGCTAGGGTTTATGAAATGGGGAGGAGGGGAGGAGGTTTGTTTTGGGGGTAGAAGGCTGGAGAAGGAGCTTCAGTCCCAGGACTAACCACACCTCCCCCTGTCTCCTCAGGGGTTGACTTACCAGGAAATTGAATGCACGCTTGATCTTCTGGAAGCCCTCTATGTATTGGGGTTCTGAAAGAGGCCCTGTGAGGCAGAGATAGGACTGACTGACCACTCACAGCCCTGTGCCCATGCCTCTCCCTCTACCCCCACTATTCCTAAATATCCTCCTGGTGGCCCCTATCCCACCCAGGCCTTGTGCTCACCTTTTGGGGTCTTCTTCTTCCCCAAAATCTTCTTCTTTTTAGTGTTATTTTTTGGGGTCTTCTTTGCCATCTCCACAAATAGCTCAATTTCACTCAGGATGTTGTTCAGTTCTTCCTGTGTCCAGACAACCCCCCCAGGTTGAGCCTTTGACTTTGAATAGGCCAGTGACCCCGGCGCTCCCTCAGAATACTATGCCATTGGCCACACATGGGAGCTTCCATTCCTGTCTGTCTAACCAGCCCTAGCCTTGCCCACCTGCCTAGCCTTAGCCTTCCTCCAATTCCACCATTGTTCCAGCCTCTGGTTTCCATGAAAGAGGAAGGGGCTCTGGTCCTTCCTTCATCCCTTCCCCCTCCCTTCACAGTGTGCCCAAAGTCAGGGGGTCCCAGCTTAAGGCTGGATATGTTTACTATTTCTCTCTCCACGTCCAGGGGGAGCTTAGGCTCTGCCTTCTGCAGGGGAAATTGGTCAAACCCCTGTGATTCCTGGGTAGTAGGCTGGTATGAGGCGAGGAGTCCTGTAACGTTCAGAAGACAAGGGAGTTGGCCATTGCGGTCTCTTGTGGCACTTCATTCCCCAGGGCTGCAGAGGAAGCCATCTCCCTCCCCTGCTTCAATCAACATCTCTCCCCATCCCCATCCCACCTCCCTGTATCCTCTGGACCCTACTCACTCTGCTCAGTGGAGTTCCAGGGATGCTTTTCTGGGGGATATGCCTCCTGCCTATTTTCATTGTGTAGGGTACCCCCAAATCTGTGTCTATGAAGGATATAATAAAATCTGAGGCTGGATCTTAGAAACAGGGATAGAGGGTCCCCTGCCCCTAGCCTCCAGGCCCTCAGGACAGTGTTTTGTCTTATTGTCTTCTCAACTCAGGTAACTCCAGCCTCCTCTCCCATTTATCCCACCATCCCCATCCTAGTCTCTACCCACTCCCTTTTGAACCAGGCCCATTTCCACCTCTATTTTAATCTTTAGCCTTTAGGTGTTTTCCCATCTCTAGAGTCTTTCTTCACCCCCCTTCTTTAGCCTCTCATCTTCGCTCTTGTTTGGTTGTTTCAGTCATGTCCAACTCTTCATGGCCCCATTTGGGGTTTTCTCTTTCTGGAATGGTTTGCCATTTCTTTCTCCATTCTCATTTTACAGATGAGGAAATCGAGGCAAAAAGGGTTAAGTGACTTGCCCAGGGTCACACAGCTAGTGTCTGAGGCCAGATTTGAACTCAGGAAGATGAGTCTTTCTGATTCCAGGCCTGGTGCTCTGTCCACTGCACCACCTGGCTGTCCCAGCCTCTCATCTATCCCCATTCTAATTCCAACCCTGGCCATACCCTCCAGCCCCATCTCCATCCTCACTCTCTTTTTATTTCCATTTCCTCCAGCTTGGGCCCAATTTTGGCCCTTTTCTTGACCCTATCTTTTTCTAGCCTTGAGGATAGCAACTGGGATATCCCAAATTAGGCTCTGGGTGCGAGGAGTGATCTCTTCCCATTGACCCAGGGGCCGAGGGCCAGTCATCCTTGGGAGCATCAGAGGGCCTTGGGGGTTAGAGAGAGGCTCTACCTTGATTCTTGCCTCTTTTTGGATTCATCAATAGCCTTCTGTAGATTACTCCTCAGAATCTCAGCCTGGAGAAAAGGATAATCAGAAGACATGAGTCTGGGTAGGGGCCTAAACGTTTCTTATTCCCCTCCAGGATGGTAAGGTCACTGCTTTGTATCTTTCCTCCCCAGGCCGCTCACCCCGACTTCCCAGCACTGGAATAGCAGGACACTGGTCAAAGGGTGGCCCGGCTCCTGAAGGTTGATTAATAGAACTGAATTGTAGGAACAGCTATTCAATATGGCATCTAGGGACTGTATGCCATCCAAGGGGTAAGAATCCATCTCTTCCTGTGGGAGGAAAGGAAGGGCTTAGTAAAGGTGTTTTCTGGAGAACCAGAACACATTCCCTCCAAAGGGCTCCCTCCAACATACAACACCCACAGCCCCTAAACTGGCCCTTCCAACCCATACCTACCTGGGGGAGTCCTTGGACCTGGGAGGGGAGGAATCAGCAGGAGAGGGAATATGGAGGAGAGAAAGGTCAAGGTCCCCTTGGGGAAAGAGGAGGGGAGGGATATGCTGAAATCCTCACCCTGGTCTCAATATCTAGGATTTGAAGCCAGTGGTTTTTGACCTGCAGGACCACATCTTGGCCCCACACTTGACCTTGGGCATCCATCATCTGAAGCTTCTCGATTACATCCTTAGGTTCCTGGATGGTTCCTGAGCCGAGCTTACAGGTCAGCAGGTGCTGAGGAATGAGAAGGGAGAATGCTCAGGAGTTGGGGGAACTTTGAGGAGGGGGTACAGCAGATCCCTTGTTCACATGGTGTAGGAAGCTCTCTGAGGTGGTGAAGTGATCCCCGAAGTCTCCAGACAAGTAGAACCTACCTTCAACCTGCCCAGGTCAAGGTCAAGGTCAAGGTCAAGGTTGGAGTCAGGGCATATTTCAAGGGAGAAGGGCTTGGCAAAGAAGGCTGACATTAGGCACGCTTCAGGGTTTGGGTCAGATGATGGTCTGTTTAAAGGGACAACTTTGTGACCATTTTGAATCCATGAGGTTTCAGGTACTGGAGCAAAGAGCTGGCAGCCCCTTGGATTTCCTATAGCTGAGGGGATAAAGCCCACACTCCTTTGCTTACTTCTCAGAGACATAAACCTGCCCCTCCCTTCCATTACAGTTTTATCTCACATTGTTCCCTAATCCATGCTTGACTCTAAGCAGGCCAGCCCCAGAACCTGCCATTTTATCTCTGCATCCTCTGCATCTCCAGAGCTAGACACAAGCCAGAGCTTGCACATAAGGATAGGGACTGGATATGTGCTTTCATTAGCATGGGGAGCTCCTGGGTGAGGGAATTCCCTCTCTCAGTGCAGGTCAGCACCTCCTCTGAAACATGCTGTTAGACTGAGAGTTACACTGAGCACTGAGAGATTGATTATACACCTTCTCCAGGACATTGTCAGAGTGACGCTCGAACTCTGTGGCTGCTGAGCCACTAGGCCTTGCGATCTATCTTGCACATATTAGGTTCTTCATAAATACGGACTGAATTATTGGACTCGCTGAATCCTGTTCTTGTGTCTGTGACTCTGCACACAACCATATGAAAATCCTGTCCCTTCACAATCTCTTACCCAGGGTCTGGGATGCAGCTCTGATCCCATCCCCTCCATGAAGTCACCTCTATGAGAGCACTTCCTCCCTTCTCTAGGCTCCCACACTCTGTGCTGTCTCTCTGTTAGCCTGGATCACACTTACTGTCTTGGGTTATTCAACTGCTTCATGAATTTGTCTTGTCTTTTCACTTGGTCTGTTCTACAGATCACAAGTGTGTCACTCTCATCTTCTGCACTCCTTCCTCCTCTTCCTCCTTCTCCCTCTTCTTCCACTGTCTCTCTCCTCCTCCCTCTTCCTCTTCCTTTCCCTTTTTTCTTCTCTTCCTCTCTCCCTCTCACTCACCCTCTGCTTCTTTCTCCTTCTCCCTGTCTCCCTTTCCCTCTCCTTCTCTCTGTCTTCCTTTCCTTTTCCCCCTCCTTCTTCCTTCCTTCCTTCCTTCCTTCCTTCCTTCCTTCCTTCCTTCCTTCCTTCCTTCCTTCCTTCCTTCCCTCCTTCCTTCCTTCCTTCTTCCTTCCTTCCTTCCTTCCTTCCTTCCTTCCTTCCTTCCTTCCTTCCTTCCTTCCTTCCTTCCTTCCTCTTTCTTTCTTTCTTTCTTTCTTTCTTTCTTTCTTTCTTTCTTTCTTTCTTTCTTTCTTTCTCTCTCTCTCTCTTCTCTCTCTCTCTCTCTCTCTCTCTCTCTCTCTCTCTCTCCTTTCTCTCTCTCTCTCCCCCTCTCCCTCCCTCCTTCCCTTCCTTCCTTCCTTCCTTCCTTCCCTCCTTCTTTCCTTCCTTCCTTCCTTCCTTCCTTCCTTCCTTCCTTCCTTCCTTCCTTCCTTCCTTCCTTCCTTCCTTCCTTCCTCTTTCTTTCTTTCTTTCTTTCTTTCTTTCTTTCTTCTTTCTTTCTTTCTTTCTTCTTTCTTTCTTTCTTCTTTCTTTCTTTCTCTCTCTCTCTCTCTCTCTCTTTCTCTCTCTCTCTCTCCCCCTCTCCCTCCCTCCTTCCCTTCCTTCCTTCCTTCCTTCCTTCCTTCCTTCCTTCCTTCCTTCCTTCCTTCCTTCCTTCCTTCCTTCCTTCCTTCCTTCCTTTTTTCTCTCTCTTTCCTTCTTTCTCTCTCTTCCTTCCTTCCCTTTTCTTTCTTTCTCCTCTCCCACCCACTTCCCTTTCCTGCCTCTAACATGGACCCCCATAATGCCTGCCATACTAATGCTTCAATCCCCTCTGTTACCCACACCCACCTCTCTCTGAACAAACCTATAGCCTCTGTCAGAACCCTCAGACCTCCCCTATCCTTCCCTACTTCGGCACACACTTGGTTTCTCAGGATTATAGATTCTCAGGGTTGGAGGTGAGCTCAGCCATCATTAATCCACCTATTACTTGAACAGGAGTCCCTGACAGTTGGCCATCCATTGCCCAGGCACAACAGTAACCTAAGAAATGCTTGTTTGTTGAGTGAGTGATCTGACTCCGGCCTGAAGGACCCTAGTGTCGAGCTGACATTTATACAGACTGTCTCAAAGGTCTTAGTACAGTTTTCAGCTTAATACTGCATTAAGACCTTTGAGACAGTTTGTATACTGCTTCAAAGCAGTATATTATATGTTATCGCACTTATTCCTTGCAATAAGGGCCTGAGGCAGATGCTATTATAGCCAGGTCCAGATTAGTGAGAATAATGAGTCACCTGAAGCTTGGCATGCATTTGAATTTACTCCATTCAAAGTTCTAATTATGTAAAATATGGTAATTTACCCCAGCCCAATGGAAATATGTACAAATTCAGATAATGTGAATACCAATGCAGTGTGAAACCCATGTTACAAATGGGGAAATTGAGGCTAGGAGAGGTTAAATGACTTGTCCAGGATCACACAGTGCTTGAGGCAGGATTCAAACTCAGTTGTTCCTAACTCTAAGTCCAGTGCCCTGTGCCCCATAGCTTTGCTGTCGTTGTTCAGTTGTGTCCAACTGTTTGTGACCCAGTTGGGGGTTTTCTTGGCAAGGATACTGGAGTGGTTTGCCATTTCCTTCTCCAGCTCATTTGATAGAAGAACTGAGGCAAACAGCGTTAAGTGACTTGCCCAGGATCACACAGTCTGAAATCACATTTGAACTCAGGTCTTCCTAATTCCAGGTCAGGCTCCCTGTGCACTCTGGCGCCCCCTAGCTGCCTTGCCCTGCAGCTACCAGATGCCTTACATTGAGTTTGAGTTGGCTTCCCATCAATCCCGGTTCTGCCCTCAGGGGCTAAGCAGAAAAAGGTCTTTCCCTCTTCTGCGTCTTGCAAATAGTTGGAGACAGTCACTTGTCCAAACCAGAGGCACCTGATTTATAGTACGCTGGGCCTAGAGTCAGAAAGATCTGAGTTCAAATCCTAACTCTGACCCTTATTAGCTGTAGGACCCTGCACACTTAAAGTTTCCTCATCTGTAAATGAGGATAATGATAGCACCTACCTCATAAGGTTGCTGTGAGTGTCAAATGAAATAATGTTTGTAAAAGAGCACTTAGCACAGTGCCTGGTGACATGCTTGTTCTCTCCCCTCTTTCCCATGAATCACAACACTTCTACCCTTTCCATGGAGAATTTAGCTGGCTCATGGGTGAGCTTACTGTTGGGTCCCACCGTCATCTGAGAACCATCAGACTACAGCCCTCTCTCAATTCCTCATCATTCACACTCCTATAATATTCGTTCATCAACCATTTATTAAATATCTACTGTGTGTTCAGAGTCGAGCTGGGCACTGGGGAAGAAGCAAAAATAAATTAGAAGGGTTCCCTCATGTGGCACCTTCGCTGGTCCTACCATTCACTTACTTTACTTTCCCACATTTGGCTCCTACCTCCCTTTCACTATTCGTATTTGTGAAAAAGCACTCAGTGGCATTCAGTAGGCACTGCATAAATGCCCCTGCCCCCATTCCTCTCTATTCATATCCAATCAAGTACCTTTACCAGTCACGTCCGTCTCATTTGCCCTCCTCTTTATTATAACTGCAACCTAGCATACACCCTCGCCACCGCTGGACTGGTGTAACACCCTCCTAACAGGTCTTCCTTCCTACATACACGCTTTTCATCCCTCATACTATTGCCAGGATTGGGCAGGGGGGAGTGACAAGTGCCTACTATGTACCAGGTACTATGCTAAATAAATACTTTATAAATATGATCTCTCTCTGTCTCTCTCCTCTCTCTTTCTCTGTCTGTTTTTCTCTCTGTCTCTCTGTCTGTCCTCTCTCTGCCTCTGTCTGGCTGTCTGTCTCTCCCTCACATCATCTCCTTTCCTTTCCTTCCTTTCTTAGATACAAATTCCTTCCTTATATACACAGATCTGGTCTTGTTATCCTTATATAAAATAAAGCAAGCAAACAAACAAATAAAAAAAAAACCAAGCAACCCTCAGTGGCTCTCTCTCGCCTATTAAGTAAATTTTCAATAATTTCCCCTCACATTCCAGGCCCTTTGTAGTTAATGGCACCATGCCGTTGGAGCCTTATCTTCTGTCACTCCCCTGCATGTGTTCTGTGGGCATGGACAGATTGGACCCCTACTCTCAGACATCCTGTGCTCTCCCTGCCTGTGTCAGGGTTCACTCTGTTCCCTTTATCTGGAATGTCTTTCTTCTTCCTCTTCCCCGGGTAGATTCCTACTCCTCCTTTAAGCCCAGTTCAAATGCCAATGCCTCCGTGAAGCCTTCTTTGATCCCCCTGTTGGTAAAATCACATTCCACTCTGTATCTCAGTGATACGCTTAGCATGTATTATGGAGGTGGGATGGTATGGGGAGGGGCAGCTAAGTGGCGCCACAGTGGATAGAGTGCCTGGCCTGGAGTCAGGAAGACTCATCTTCCTGAGTTCAAATCCAGCCTCGGATACTTACTCACTGTGTGCAAGTCATTTAACCCTGTTTGCCTCAGCTTTCTCATCTGTGAAATGAGCTAGAGAAGAAAATGGCAAACCACTTCAGTATCTCTGCCAAGAAAACCCTGAATGGGCTCACAAGGAGTTGGACACAACTGAAAAATGACTGAACGACAATATGGTATATATAGGGGATAAGTGTTGGGTGCAGAGTTAGAAAGGCCTGGGTTCCAATTCCACCTCTGACACCTACCAATTCAGTGACTCTAAGCAGATCCTTTAACTTCTCTGGAGTTCAGCCAACTCCCAGAGTCTTATCTCTTAAGTCAGATTATGGAAGAAGTTCTAAACAAATGATGCTATTGACATGTTGTTATTGACGTATGTGTCATGTGTTCTACTGGATTAAACTTCGTCATCATATCAATTTTGAGCTGGGAAGGAACTCAGAGGTCACTGAATACAATCCCCCCCCATTTTACAGATGAGGAAAGTGAAGGCCACGGAGGTGAAGGGAATTGTTTCAGGGCATACAAGTAGTAAGCATCAAGGGTAGAACTTGAACCCAGGTCCTTTAACCACACAGCCAGTATTCTTTCCACATGAGTGGAGGGACGGTGTTTTATCTAAACTTTGAATCTCCCCCAGTGCTTAGCAACATTATTTGTTTGTATTACCTTCATCTGATTGCTGCCCCTGTGGTCTGTGCCAATGGTCTTTGACCATGACCTCTGATTCATTTTCACATTCCTAGATGATTCTAACACTCGGCTCACCTTCTTTTTCTCTGCTTCTTCCTTCTCCGTTGGACCCTACTCTTCCTCCCAGCCAGTGGAATGGAAGAACCCACAGCTTCTGAACCCTCTCGGCTTGACCCCTCTTCTTTGTCTTTTGGACCCTCTCAACTCTAGCTGACCCACTCTTAGAGGAAAGGTGAGTTATACCATCACTATCCATGTCTTCAGACTTGACCTCACCTCCTTGACTCTGAGGACCTCCAGATCTAATATCAACCACCCTCCAGCATAGCCACCCTCTTGGACCTCAGCTAGGTGGTACAGTGGATAGAGCTCTGGATATGGAATAAGAAGGCCTTGCCTTCAAATCCAGCCCCATGGATTAGCTGGGTTACCCTGGGTAAGTCACTTAATATCCATCTGCCTGAGTCTCCTCATCTATAAGATGGGGAAAATAATAGCATTTACCTCTCAGGGTTCTTGGGAGGAGAAAATGTAAAGTGTACAAACCTTAAAGCACTCTCTATAAATAGTAATGATTTTTAGCCATCAATATCACCACAAGGCACAGCCAGCTCTGTATTAAAGATCATTTCCTTTCATTGCCCACACTGCCCAAACATCTAAGTGCCTACTATATGCCAGTCACTGTGTTAAGCACTAGGGATGCAAAGAAAGACAAAAACAATGTTTTCCCTTGAGGCACTACTAAATCTCCCCAACCACGACCTTAAACCACTCAATCCCTCCTGTCTCAGCCAACCCTTTAGCTTCTTCCTGGCCACAATGGACTACGGCTCGTCTCAACCTTCCTTTCCTACCCATCCCCTCAACTCCCCATCCCTATATGCCAAGACTCCAAGTCAAGCCACTTGTGCCCTCTGCAGTGAATGACATTCCACTTGGAGATGTCAGTTCAAAACCTAGTTATAACATTTGCTGGCTGCCTAAGTATGGGCGAGCCAATCGATCCTATTGAGCCTCAGTTGTCCCATCTGTAAAATGAGCATAATAATATTTGTAGTATGCAATCCCTCGCAGGATTGTGGAGGGGAAAGTGCTTTGTAAATTTGAAAGGATTATATAAATTTAAGTTATTATAATCCAAGATTTCCTTGCTCCCCTATACTTTCACAATGCCTGCTGACTTCAGAGCCGCTGTCAGGGCTTCTTGGTTGGAGAATAGCTAAGAATTATGTGGACTTGGCCAGATTCACACCAAGAGAAGATGACAGCAACCTGGCCCTCATCATTGCTCATCAATCCTTCTTTTCCTTTGGTTTCTTTCCACAGTGGTTATTCTACACCTTCTCTTCTCCTAATCTTCTCATTCTTCCCTCCTCCTCCATTTCCCTAGCCCACCTTGTGCAAATGACCTCAACTCATGCTTGACAGAAAATATCTAGACACTGTGTTGTGAACTTCCCTTGTCCTCCCATTCTAATTCCAACATGTCAATCATTGTACCCACGTCTGTTTCCTCATCTTCCCTTCCAGGTGTAGGTTTTTGTTTTTTTTTTTTTTGGGGGGGGCAATTGGGGTTAAGTGACTTGCCCAGGGTCACACAGCTAATGTCAAGTGTTTGGTCTGAGGCCAGATTTGAACTCAGGTCCTCCTGACTTCAGGACCGATGCTCTATCCACTGCACCACCTAGCTGCCCCCAGGCTTAGTTTTTCTAAAGGGCTTTTTCTTCTCTAAAATTAACTCCATTGCCTGTAGTCAGATCCTCCAGTCCCTCCTGACTCCTCAAATTCACAATTAGCTCCCCTTCTCTAGCATTATCACTGTCTCATTCTCTGAAGGCACCTTCCCTCTTCCACTCATTTCCTTTTTTTTTTTTTAACGAAACAAAACAAACATCCCTCACTTTCTGAAGGAAGAAAGTATACTTACTTTGCTGATTAATAGAATAGTTTATCTCAAAAGGACAGGCTATAACAGTTGGCCAAAGGTAACACAATGAAATTTAATAGGCATAAATGTAAAGTTTTGTGATCAGGCTAAAACAATCAATGGCAATAAGTACAGCATTGGGGATACGTGGCTAGAAAGCCTCTTATGTGGAAACCAGAACTAGCAGTTCTAGTGAATTATGATGTAATGGGAGTTATTGGTGTTAATAGAACACTGTCTTCCGCAGGGGTCAGATCACATCCACAGCACTGTGTCTAGTTCTGGCTCCCATAGTTTATAAGGGACATTGATAAACTGAAAGTCCCCTGGATGATGCAACATGAGGATTAACTGAAGATACTGAGAAGAAAAGACCCTCTGGGAGACCGGGGAGAGCTAAGGGGCATGTGTGTGTTGGGGAGCAGCGATTCTTACCTCCACTCGTAGCTTTAGGTTGGTGGGTTCTGCAGCCATGGTCTGAGAGTACTCTTTCCGTTGTTCTGAAGGTAAGAGCAGAAGATGAAGAGGGGAAAGGGCTGGAATGTGGTGGTGATGGTGGGGGGAGGTCAGGAGACTGGGGGCGGGACAAAACAAAGTGTGGGTGAGGAGGAGGAAGGGAAGGAGCAGGGGCTACAGTGTGAAAGGGAAGGAAAGGAGAAGAGGCAGAAAGGGAAGTAGGGAGGAAAATGGCAGGTGGGGACAGGAAAGGGAAGGAAAGGGAGGGAGAACAGCAGGGCAAGGATGGGGAAGGAGAAACTTACCATAAATGGTTTTGCTGCTGGGTCTGGACATGCTGTTGGATCTGTTGAGGGCCGATCTGGGCTCTCTGGAAAGCCAACCCAAAAAGAGATATAATCAGCACCCAGGAGATGGTGGGGTGCAAAAAAGAGTGATGTGGGGACTGGATATACAGAGATAAAATCTGAAAGGGAAGGGGTAGAGGGGGGCTTTGAAGACACAAGAATAAGCTCCCAAGAAGAAAGAAAGGAGTAGACCCTTGATAGGAAGGGGAAGGAGAAGGAGAAGGGGAAAGGGAAGGAGAAAGAAAAGGAGGAAGAAGAGAGGAGAAAAAAAGGAGGAAAGGGGGAAAGGGAAGGGGAAAGAAGACCATTGGGAAGGGAAATGAAACTTGGAAAGGTGCAATGGGGTCTGGGGAGTCTGACAAATTCTAGGACTCACTGATGGGACCAGTCAACCCTGTGAGTGGCATACTCCATCCGTTATGCTGGTGGTCTGCTCTGGAAATCTAGTAAAAAAAATATCAGGTCTTGACCTTTCAGCCTGCCATCTGATAGCCTCAAGAAGTAAGACCCTTCTGTCTCCTGAGATCCTTCCCACAAAGACTCTGGATGTCTCTTCATGGGGCAGAGCCTAGCAGCCAATGTCCTATCTGGAGGTTGAGGGGAAGGGACCACACCAGAACATCAGAGAAATGGGTATGTAAGAGAGAAGCAGTAGCCTCCCTTAGTGTTAGAAAGAACACTGACTCTGGATTCAAAAGAATTAGGTCTAAATCCAAGTCATCTCAACTCCCTAAGCCTCAATTTCCTTATCTGTAAAATAAGGAGGTGGGGTTAGAGGGCCCCAGAAGTCCCTTCTAGCTCCAGATGGATAATCCTAAAACTCTGAGGAGACAGAATTCCCAACATTTAGTTTGCAAAACTTATTCAAATGACCGTAGGCTGAGGCCCCTCCTTTCCGTAGAAGGGCTCAGAAAGGTCAGGAAGCAGGGGCCCAGGTTAGCATGTGCTATGGATCAAGGCCCCACGCTCTTAACGTTGGCCTAGAGTACATATGCATGACCCTAGAATCAGTGGCTAATGACCAGGTTGGGGCTTTCCTGCTTGCAAAGGTTTTTAGAGGGGGGAGCAGCCTTCTGTGGAACTTTTGGGGTGAGGGTGCTGTTAAACTCTCTTTTCTAGTCTTCGGTTTCTCCATCTTACAGATAGAATGATGGATTACTTGGATAGAGAAGGCATTTCAGAGCGGGGTGTGTGTGTGTGTGTGTGTGTGTGTGTGTGTGTGTGTGTGTCTCTACTAAGGTACTGGGGGAACTTGGGAAAAATATAAATTAAAGGACCATCAACTTATTTATCTGAGCTTTTACAAAAGCACTATGCTTTTGGTTAAAGCAAATGTATTACTAACAATAACAATTACTAACAATAATAACAATTACTAACAATAACAAAAACTAAGGGGATAAGAGAGGAGATCGGTTCCCTGAGCCCTTTCTTGCCTGGGGAGCCCTGCTAGACAATGTAGGTCGAAGTCCTTTAAGAACCCAGGGATCCCATTTCTCCCTCAGGTAAGTGCCTAATAGAGGTGGCCAGGTGGCTCAGGACAGGAAGACCTGAGTTCAAAGCCTACCTCAAACACTGATAAGCTATGTGTCTTTGGGCCAGTCACTTAATTTCTCTCAATTTCAATTTTCTAAATGTGTAAAATGGGGATAATATAGTTCCTATCTCACCAGGTTTTGGGGAGGGTCAATTGAGACAATATGTAAGACATCTTGCAGACTTTAAAGTGCCGTATAATAATTGCTATCATGATCTAAGTCCTCCGTTTCCCTCACTCCTGCTCCCAAAATCTCACTCTTGAGTGTGACAAACTCTGCTTCTGAACTCAAAGGAGAGGAAAGGAGACCTTGGCCAAAGCTTCCCCACATCCCTCTATCCCCATGTGCTCTGAGTCCTGCCTATTGGGTAGAGATGAGGGGCCTGGACACCTGTCCTCTTTGCCTATAGCTGCATGTTCTGTTTATGGGCAGAGGCAAGAAACACTTGGTGATAAGAGTTCCCCATAATCTAGGAACTGGTGATAGGACAAAGGGCATAGCCAATACTACCTACTACTGTCCTTGGAAAATGGCTGCCCCCTAGAAAGCAGAGATTCGGGGGAAGGGAGGCTGAGGACTAAGGAGGAGGTAAGGGTGAAATAGAGATACAGAGAGGACCCTAAGTATCTGGTAATAATGATATCAAGCCAAAAGCTCCACTCACCCATTCCATCCTGTCTTGAACCCCCAGACCCCTATTCAGTCTGAAATCCCTGGTTCTATCTAGGAAAAAGCTGGGGAGTGAGAAAGAGGCCAGAAGGAAAATCATTGATGTCGAGACCCAAATGTCTGCCCCTAGGTCTGGGTGAAAAGACCACCTAGGAGGTGAGGCAACTGGAATCTGCCAGCTAGGTGTAAGGGGACTGAGATTCAGTTCACTCTCTTGGGGTCGGGGCTAGGTCCTTCCCAATCAATCATCCTAGGCCAAGGGGGTGCAGCCCACCTTAGGCCCAGGGTTGGGTCTGGGTTCCATTGTTCTTTCAAGCTGTGGCTTCCTAATCAAACCCAGAGCTGACTATACCTCTCGGGTTCCTAGGATTAGGAGTGGACCTGGACAGTCAAGGCCCCTGAGGGTCCTTGATCTGTGAGAACACAGGTCTCCTGGGGCCCAGAGAGGGTGAGACACTGCTCTGAGGTGACCGGTCTCCATTCTTTTCTATCCCCATTCCCCGTTCCTCAATTGCCCTGTTACCTGTGGCTCTGGACCCAGACCTCACAAGTTCAGCTGATGTGTCTGACTCCTTGAAGTGTGGATCAGCCCACTAGACAAGTGTGTGCTGGAAAGCAGTTAGGATGGCAATAGTCCCACCCAGCAGGCAATGAGGTTTCTTTCCCAGGCTGCAAGAACATGATGACAGCAGCAGCCACAGCCACACCTTATGGTCTTTGGACTCTTAGTAGGTGGCGAGTATCGTGGGCAACTGCCCACGCCCACCTCTCATCCTTATTCTGGGAAGGCACATGCCCTGCCCTGTGATCGGCTCTGTTGGCACCTGACTCCTGACATCCCTACTCCCTCTGGATTTTTCCCTGCTCCTACCCCTATATATCTTCCCATTCTTCTCCAGCTCTGGTCCTCTGTCCATTTTTGAGGGTTTAGCAGAACCTCTGGAGGACATCAGAGGAGGATAAAATATCATCTAGCCCAAATCATGAGTCCCTCATATAACATTCTCAATAAACAGTCCACCTAACTCACTCCCCCGAGGGGCTGCCCATTCCACCTCAGGAAAAGCTCTAAGTGTTAAGAAGTTATTTCCTTCCTTGTTTGTGTAGGTGTGATCATAGATCAGAGGATCGATATCTGGAAGGGACTTTTATTATTATCTAATCCAACCCCTTTACTCTAGAGATAAATAAACTGAGAAAAGGAGACTTTAAGAGACTTGCTCATGGTCACACTGATGGTGAGTAACAGCTGAAATTCCAACCCTGATGCTCTGCCTTTTATCTACATCCGGCTCTCTTTCCCTAAAATCTTGCTTCCTGTGAGTGTAACCCATTCCACCAGGAGCCCCTGGAGACAAGGGACTGGTTTCTTTTGGCCTTTCTTTGTTTCCCCAGCAATTAGCATGGCTCCTGGACCACGCTTGTATAATAATTGCTATCATGGTCTAAGTCCTCCTTTTCCTCACTCCCAATGTCTCACTCTTGAGTGTGACAGACTCTACTTCTGAACTCAAAGGAGAGGAAAGGAGACTTTGGCCAGCTGTCTTTCCCACGTTTCTCCATCCCCATGGGCTCCAAGTCCTGTCTGTTGGGTAGACATACACCTCTCATGTCTATTATTATTATTATAATAATTATGATATCTTGTATCTTCATGTTAATTAGCATGTTATGTACCCCATTAGAATGTGAGTTCTTTGAGGGGAGAGATCTAGAATATTGTTGTTTAGTTGTTCAAAGCCCATTTTGGGTTTTCTTGGCAAAGATGCTGGAGTGGTTTGCCATTTCTTTCTCCAGCTCATTTTATAGATGAGGATGCTAAGGCAAGTAGAGTTAAATGACTTGCCCAGGGTCACCTAGCTAGTAAGTGTCTGAGGTTGGATTTGAACTCTTGAAGATGAGTCTTCCTGATTCCAAGCTCAGTGTGTTATCCATTGTGGCGTCACCTAGCTGCCCATGTTCTAGCACATAGTAAGCACTTAATAAATGCCTGTTACCTGACTAACTTTCTACCTTTATTCCTCATTGTCTTTTCACCTCTCCTATTCCCCACCTCAAGGCCCTGTGGGAGATTCCTAGATCCCTAGCTGAGACCTGGGAACTGTTAAGCAAAGGAGAGAAACTTATGCCCTTCCTTTCCTCACCCTAGTTTGCCTCACTAACTTACTTCCCAGCCTCGTTCCTGATATCTCCTCTAGAGAAGGAAGAAGTCACAGTAGAGCTTAAAAATCCTCTTCCTTCCCAATCCCCTCTGCTTAGTAGTAAGCTCTACAGGGGAATTCAGAGCCTGCCTCTGGTCCTAGGAATAGAGATTCTCGGAAATGACTCAGAAGATCAGGCATTGTTTAAGGAGTCTGAGCAACAGCTAAAATTTGTACAGTGCCTTAAAATCTGCAAATAGTTTTTGTATGATTTCTTTTGCTTGAATGACAACAAGGACACGCACACACATATGCATACACATACATACATACATACATACATACGTATTTTCCTATGTTGGCAGAAACAAGATCAAAGCAGGAATAGACTCTGCTGGGCGGGACAGCGATAGCTGATAAAAGGGAAAAGCAGAGCTGCTCAAATTTTATTTTGTTTCTGGGTTTTTGGTGTTGTCGTTGTTGTTGTTTTTTTGTTCCTTCAAGGGAGAAAGAACTTTGCACTGGAAATGACAGGACAAAAATGACTAACAGGGAGTTGATAGCCCAGATAAGTAAGGGCATTGTAAAGTCCTAACTAGCTGCCCTTGAGAATGCAAATCTCCTGGACTGTATGAACTTAGTTCCTAGAATAACTGTCATATATAATTGCAGAGTAACTATCAGTTTTGATGAAAAGATCCTGAAAAATGGGAGAAGTGCTGTAAGATCAGAGGACAAATGTACTTTTTTTTTCCCCAAAGAGGAGAAAATAGACTGCAGCCTACAGATTGATAGGCTGTGGGCTAGTGAACTTGACCAAGATTTAATGGCAGCTGGTGGAGCAGTGGATAGAGTACTGGACCTGGAGTCATGAAGACCTAAGTTCGAATTTGGCCTCACACACTTACTAGCTGTGTGACTCTGGGAAAGTTACTTAACTGCTGTCTGCCTCAGTTTCCCTAACTGTAAAATGGGGATAATAGTAGCACCTACCTCCTAGGGTTACTGTTGGGAATCAAATGAGATAATATTTGAAAAAGTGCTATCACAATACCTAGAACCTAGT